TTTTTTTTTTAGAAATAGCCTTTGTGCACAGCCAGCCTTGTACTCTTCTAGGTTAAAAAAAAACGTTGTCCATAAAGTGCGTTGCACAAATTCGAACATCTGGGTTGTGCTGTTCTGTTGTAAATAAATCTTAACCAATGATTCCTAATTGCATCTACTTCCGGAAGGCCAAATAAAGTGATTTGAAACACAGCGTCTCCCTGACATGGCTGCATCAACACGACTGCTGTTCCTGAAACCACGCCGCCTTTCTTTGCGTGCACATTTGGGCGGCATTATGCTAATATTTCCACATAGTGACCTAGACATGTGGGGGCGTGTTAGAACGAGCCGTTTTAGGTAGGCGTGGCTGACTCTTAACTTTTATAAAGAATAACTCTTTGGATTTGAGACTTTAGTCTTTGCAACTTTACAGATCTTCTTTATGCACCAAGAGCTTGTAACACTCCTAAGAGAAAGGAAAACTTGAAATTGCATCATATGACCCCTTTAAAGTTGACGTGAGTTCTGTGTTGCATGTACTGTAGATCATGAGTCATGACATCATCCATACCTGTGTAAATGGTAAGGAATCTCCAGTTGGTCCAGTCGGATCAGCAGGGACTTCCGCAGTCCACAAATTTAGAGCAACTTTTTTTGGCTTAGATATACTTAGAACATCTACTAAAGACTTCAAGATAGCAGTACAGTGAATAGTTTTAGAATGCTTGAGATGCTTCCATTAGTCCCCACAACATTGGCAAAAGTTCATTGCTTCTTACCTCACCTGATTGGCAAAAACAGACTATGGAAGAAGAGTAATGGTGAGAAGATTTGAGACCTGGTAGATGAGTTCTTTTTAAGGGTGAAGAGGTAGATAAAGGTGAAGAAAGAGTGACGTATCAGAAAGTGTCCCAGTCCACCACACAGGAGCTGGTGTTTTTGTGGCACTGTTGTTTTGTACCTGTGTTTGAGAGACAAATTGCTGTCCATTAGTCTTGTCTGTGTTTCCCTGCTCCACAAGTTGAATTGAATGTCTTTTCCACAGCAGATTATTGCACACAAAGTGTGTGTAAAGAAAATTCTGAGAATTGTTTCTAAACACATTAAAAAAGTTAGAAATGTATTGCTGAAAACACGTTACAAAGACTGTGAACAATGTAGTTCTGAATTGTGGAGTTAGACCGTTAAACGGTTTTTCACCATTTTTGCGAAACCATGTCTTGATGATGCACTGGAGCCACTGAGCATGGCCTCTCCCCTAACACTATAAGAGGTGTGTTCGGCCAAAGACTATAGAATACCCAAGACATGTCACTCATATAGTTTTGAATGGGGAAAAATGCAACACTCAATATGGCCGCTCAATCGCAGAAAGCCCTGTCTTCTGAATCAAAGAGCCAATCGCTAATCGGTAAAGTCAGCGCGTCACTGCAGCTGCCGTTAGAAGTCCGGGTTGCTATAGAAACAACCTGCATTCTGAGAAACGCGCTTAGGACTGTGCATGCGCACTGGCTGATCTAGCCGAAAAATAAGCTTTTTATAACGCTATTTGAGCAAAAGAAACAAGATTTATGCCACAGTTGTTGTCAGATTTCTTTGGTGATTTCAAATATGAAATTTAATAGTGAACAGTTTTGGAGAATTTTATGTTTCCCCATACAAAGAGATAGGAGCTGCACTTGCATGCCCAAGAGGCGTTTAAAAAATGGCCACCAAGTGACATGACTTGTCTTAAAGAGACTTTGGTTTGGCTTGAAGCAGCGCTGTGCAGACCAATCGGTGTATGACATCAAAGTATTGCAAAAGCGATAAGAGACCAGACGCACCTTGTGCTTTCAAATCACTCTTGCGGTACTTTGATGTCATACACTGATCGTTCTGCGCAGCGCAGCTTCAAGTCGAATACGCCTAATAACTAGAGCGCATTAGTGGTGTGTTTGATCAGGGTTGGAGCTAAACTCTGCAAGGCATTGGCCCTCCAGGGCAAGATTTGAGGAGCCCTGCTTTAAGTCATCTAAGGGGGTGTTTATACGTCACCTTTTTCAACTAAAAATGGAAAACTTTTGGCCATTCATTTACATGACAACATTGTTTTGTGTGCCTGATAATGCAAACTTACATTATGTGTTCAGTTTACAGGAATGTGTATGAATACAGGAGCGTAGTGTTTCTTGATAAAGTGGCATCATCAACTACTGGCCTGGCATGCATAATACAGCGTTTTTAGTCGTGTTTGCAGATTCGTGTAAATGGACAATTGTTTTGACAACGTTCATGCCCGTATGTGAAACTTTTCAAAAACGCAAGGGAAAAACTTTTTCGTTTTTAATACAGTCATTGCTGTGTAAACATACCCCAAGTCAGTGTTTAACAACCTTGGTCCTTGGTAAGCCCAGAAGTACCTAATTTCAGGTCTTGGAGTGTCTAAAGAGTTGTGCACTAAAGACTAGTGCACTAAAGAGTTGTATCAAACATGTTTGATTAGGGAGACTTATAAAATGTTCAGTGTTGGGGGTTTTCCAGGTCCAGGGTTGGGAACCCTGTTCTAGGTCTGTAGAACAGGGGTGTCCAAACCTGCTCCTGGAGGGCCACCTTTTTGTTCCAACACACTTCACTGGAAGTTTCTTGTGATCCTGAAGACCTAGATTAGCTAGTTTTGGTGTGCTTAATTAGGGCTGGAGCTAAACTCTGCTGGAAGGTGGCCCTCCAGGAGCAGGATTGGACACTACCGTTGTAGAATGTATGGGAAAAGTCAGAAGCAGTTGGATTTGGCTCTGAATCAAGACACTTTGTCACTTGCCCTAGATGGTTCTTCTGTCATCAGATGTGAAATTCATGTGACTCTTTCAAGGTTAAGAACAATATTCGGGATGGTTGTTCCAGCTGCACCTGGATAGACTCTGTAATCCTTATTTGAATCAGTATTATTAACAATGCACACATAGAGATTTTTTTAAGATTGATAACCATGCTTTCATGACTAAGGCATTTCACTCCTAGTTGCCAATGTTTATGTAAACAGGCATATTTTCCCACATACTGTATACGGTTGTATTTCTAATGAGGTTTCCTCATAGTACTGATAAATGAACTCCACTGAGCATATGTCTGTTCTGAGGAACAGTTCAACATGTTCCTAGTCAACAAAACAAGTAGATACTAATGTTGTTATGTCACAAGCTGAATTCAAGAATTGCTAATGGATGTTTTAACAGCTTAAGTGCAAAAACCCATTCAAGATTCTCTACTTTTTATTCAGGCTGGGTGGAAGGAACTCGTCTGTCAGACAGACAATGTGGTTGGGCCCCCGAGTCTCACCTGGAGACAATAGTCAGCGGCAAAGCAAGAAAGCGCAACCTGCTGGACACCGTGAAAATTGCTACAGCTGCAATGTGAAGCGATATGTGAATCCTTCAAGGTTCTCAGGTGGACTTTTTCTACCACTATTTTTTAGTATTACTTTAAAGTCTTATGCAAAAAGAACTTCAAGGGTTTATGTCTTAACTTCGTGGGAAGTTTCTATTTATATTGTGTATACACTTAAGCTGATAAGGGTGATGTGGGTGTTATGGCTTCACCCATGTCAGGGTACTACTCCACACCCTGCTAAAGGGTTTGGTAAGATGCTGAATTAAGGCAACTGAACTCCTTAGATATCCCATGGACATCTATGGACTTTGCAAATTGCGCAAATACAGCCATAAGCTTCTATGCAGCTTCCATAGTTTTTATATAAGACTCTCTTATGAATTGAAAGTGGGGAGTCATTCCTGGGCAGAAGTTTGGACTACAGTTTTTTTGTCCTCATTATGAGCAAGCCGTCTCACTGAGGAACCACAACAGCTGTATATAAGACACCTGCACCAAAACTACTTGTTCTCTGTTATATATAAACATCAGATCCCCTTCCGTGTGGAATATAAATGCTGTCAGACTGCAGCCTCTTGGGAATTCCGTTTGAAGAGAAGATTGTGTTGTGCACCAGGACACATGATGCAAAAGGACAAAATTATTACTAATTGTGAAAAACGGTGGACTTTAAAAGTGCAAATTTTATTTAGGATCATGAATTATGGATGGCTACTTTTTAAGACCAAAAAGTGTACAATACCCAAGGTTGTCTACAATGTACATAATATAGGTTTTTAACATAAAAGCTAAAAGTATTGTTTTCATGGAATAATTCCATCTCTGCTTAGCATATAACTGTAATGTGCCTTAAAAATAAACAGATAATTTGTTTCCTGAAAGTACATGTCATGGTTTAGCAGATGGGGTTTTTAGTCTTATCAAGTGCACTTTTATTATAGGAATTATGGGAAGGCCATTAGGTAGCAAGACCTTAAAAAAGAAGAATCAGAATGAAAGAGTAAAGTGGCACAGGATTCAGTAGGAAATCAAATGCTTTAGTGCGATTTACAATACGGAGAATCAATGAACATTTCATAAATGTTTCTTTCAGTATGACAAAAAAATACCAGACTATAAACAGCTTCTTGGCTATATGGAAATAAAAAAAATATGACAGTGGAAAATGGTTTTGTGATCAACTAAACTCTACTTTTAACTGTACCACAAATGATTGGTTCCTGAGGTGAAACTGAAATCTACTTGAGCCCTGACCCGTAATCAATAGTAGCAGACAGGAAAATTACATTAAAAGGTACAAAATAATGCAAATACGGTAGTACATCACAATTAGACTCAATTTGTTAACATTAGTTAATGTATTAGTTATCATGAACTAACAATGGAAAATCATTTTAAGAATTTTGTGTGAATTTCTACATAGACTAATACATTTTTTAATTTTCAAGTTTTATAAATAATGCATTATAAATGGGAATAAATCAACAATGAACAATAGTAATGTTGTTGTTTTTTTTTAGTTTATGACATCTAATGCCTTAACTAATGTTAACAAACTGAAACTTTTTGTAGTGTTCCCACAAACATTATCTGATAGTAAGGAAGAAGAAGATTGTGATGTAAAGAGAAACTTGCTGTTTTTTTTATTAGCCACTTGGAAGTTCCAATATGTGCTCGAAGGAGCCATGAATAGTCTAATCTCAAGCACACTGCATCCTAACAAACACCCAACATGCATTCAGACGTACACGGTGAATTCAGCAAACACACAATCTCAAAGACACACACACTCATGAGAACTTCAGCACCAGGTAGAACAGGAACATGTCTGCACTCACTGCCTCACATAACATCATCTCCACTATGCGGTACTAGACTAGACCAGTAGTACTATTACCAACTGTTTTAACATGTCTTATCACTGATTTACACTATATAAACTTTTCACATGCTGAACAGTCAGTGTCATCTAATAGGAGACAGGCCATGATTAAGGGAGACACATGCACGAACACTCCACAAATCATATCCAATGAGGTTCTAATGAGAACATACAGGTGCCTCTTGCAAAGAGTAGCGCAGGGTTAAAACGGGAGGAGTGATGGGTCTATGCGTGCGCCACTTTTTTTAGAAGAACCTAAATTTCAAATGTTTTTCAGTCTGTCGAGTAAGTGCTATGAGATACGGAGAACCAGGACACACACTTAGGACAACTGAGAGGATCTAATGACCCAACAAAGCTCTTCTGAGCAACACACACTGCTATAGAGCTACACATCACAAAGGGCTGATGTTGTTGCTGCACATTTTGGACTGGTTTTAAAAGTGTAAATTGAGCTTTAACCGGAGCAACAATTAGAGGATACTAAGAAGTCCGTTATGAAAGAATGGTGTAAAATGAGTTTGAGAACTAAATTCTCTTTTAAAAAATGGCAATCCTGAAAGCATAAGTGTGCAGTCCACCCGCAGCTTTGAGCGTCCAGCTCTATGAGTGAGTGAACAGAGGTAATAGTAGAGTTGCTTCAGAGTACAGAGGATCTGAACAGCACAATGTGGAGGTTAAAATGGGAGATGTGTGTTCTATGGTACATTAAAATACAGTGAAGGGGTTTCGCTGTACAGCAGGATAAGAATCACCCCACTAATTCTTCCAATTATCGATTATCCGTTCCTTTCAACCTGGAGAAGCATAAAAAAAAATCCAACGGTCAGGGGTTTTTTTTTTTGGAAGTGTTTGTCAATACAAGATTTTGTGCTTTATGCAAGAATGTGTAGTTCTGAATCATTCATAAATTAGTTTTTATCTAAATTGCCACATTGAGTCAAATGCAACAGATTATGCAAGAATGGTTTTATGAATGATTTACACAAATCGTTTATAACCCACTGATAAAAAATAAAGCTCCTTCATAAAGCTATATAAAAATCAGAGACTTTTAATAGTAACAGTAGGAAAAATAGTAAGCTAATACTGTGTGTGTATATATATATAGTATACACATATATACAGTGTATATATATATATATATATACACATACATACATACACATCGAGGGATGCTCACTAAATTTGTACCATATAGGTAATCAACCAATATTAGAGATTTTTTTTATCTTTTAATCAGTTTCAGTTCAGAAAGTATATTTAAATAATTTTGAATATTTTTATTGTGTATGCTCATTTTAACAATTGTATTTCAATTATCTTTGCTGTCATCTAACACGTGCTTAATCTTTAAAATCACAATTTCACAATCACAAACAGTATTTTAACAACACTGATAAATGTAATCTTTAGCAAATTTAAAAATGAATATTAATTTTTCATACTGTACATTTTAAGTGTACATTTAAAAACAACCGATTTTCAAGAAAAACAACAGTTGTCAGCTTATCACTATCTGCAAGAATTTTAATATCTGTGCATCCTTATTTAATATTTATTATTAGAGAGCATATTTATTAATAATATATTGATTAAACTATATATAAGTACATATAAACAAGAAGTTCACAAAGTTAATTTTAACTACTTAGTTTATTAATTATGTCAACTGACTATCTCCTGGAAGAGTGACAAAGATTAAAAAGGAAGTGTTACAATGATTGCTGTATGTACCTGTATGAGATGGGCAGGAGGAGATTGTTCTTCTTCAATGCTTGCACTTTGCTGAGAGTCTGGGGGTCGAGGGCGATGTAACAGCGTCGGGCATAGTCCAGAAGCTTTTCTTTAGATGGGTCAAACTCGCCCACCTCAGCCACCTTCTCTGGAGCCACCAGCAGAAGCTCGGCAATGGGTGTGGTAGAGGCCACCGTATTACGATCTACACCATGGATCTGGAAGGCCTTGGACATGTTCTTTAACCTCTGGTATGTTACCAGGATCTTTTTATAGCGGAACAACACACCTGCTGCATCTTTCACTAGAACAACAGCAAAAAGGAGAGAAAGATGAACAAAGAGAGCAGAAAGAGAAGATCACTTGCTTGTCATGTTTCTGTCATGCTCACCTCTCTGTCTTTCTCTCCCTCTGGCGATTCTGAAAACCCTCCTTCTCTTCAGAGCTGGATGACCGCCGGTGGGTCTTCCAGCTGTGCTGATATTCCGAAGTGACATACTATCTGTTATCACATCCTCTCCTGACATCATTTCCTCTTCCTCAAGGTAGCTATCCTCAAGATAGGCATCCTCTTCTTCATCTCGCAGAAGAGTGAGGGATTCTGTGGCAGCACAAGTCAAGATAATGTACTTGACTCAACCACTAATGTGATGATAAATGTTTCTTGAGCACTCAATTAGACTGATTTCTGAAGAATCACGAGACACTGAAGACTGGAGTAATGGCCGCTGAAAATTCAGCTTTGCATCACAGGAATAAATTACAATTTACATACAATAGAACAGAAAACGTTTGTTTTTTTTTGGTAATATTTCACATTATTACTGATTTTTTTTTACTGTATTTTTCATCAAAGAAAGGCAGCCTTGATGTGCATGAGATACTTTTTTCCCCAAAAGATTATAAAACTGTACCAACCCTGTAACCCCTCCAATTACTGTAGTGTAATCTTGAGTAATCAGGTGATATAAGGCCATTTTTATATTAACGTCAAAGCCTGATAACCATGCCCACTTGACAGAATATTAATTTTGAGTTAATATTGTGTACAATGTGTCAGCAACTTTTGTTTGCATCTCATTTGCACTATATGATATACGTACACTACCAGCAGAAAGTTTAGACACACCAATTCATTTTTAAGTATTCATTTTTAAAATTGTAAAATATTTTTAATTAATAATGTTTTAGAAAAATATGAAACTCATGGAAACTATGAAATAACATACATGGAAGTATGGGAATTATTTAGTGACCAAAAAAAAATAAAAAAACTTTAAATGTTAAAATGAAAATGAATGACATTTTATTTTAATTACAATTTTAAAAAGTTGTGTAAGAGATTTTGTAAGAATTTCTTATAAAATGTATGTTTATGTACTATTTTCATTTTCATTTTAGAATTTCGGTCATTTAAGCGTGAGCCTTTACATCAAAAGATTTGATCACCATCATCAATGATCATCAGACACGTTGATGGACCACTACACATTATCTACAATACATGAGATCAAATTATGAAGAATGATGAAAAAACTGTAGATAAACTGTAAATATGCTTACTGTAAACATACAGTAAATAATTAAACCAAAATGACAAAGTACTGCAAATAAAGACCCACCTTGCAGTTCATTGAGGGACCTGTTGTTGCTACTGCAGCTGCTGCTGGTGCTGCCGCCACCGTGGCCCTGCAAAAGAGGCTGAGGGTGGGGAGATCCATACATGGCATTTATCTGAGCACTGACTGGACCAGGAACAGAGCTCAGGGCCTTGGAATTGGCTGAAGTCTGTTGGGTTGGCCTCTGCTGGAATGACTGACGGTTGGCTGAACGCTGACTTTCCACTTGTTGATCTGAAACGTTAATGATTAAAGTTAATTCTGTGCCCGGTTGCATAAAAGGCTTAGACTAGTTTTACAAGATAGTCATCTATTTTTTTGTTTTTTTAAAGACTGGTAACTTTTTTTTTGTTACATAAAAACATGATTGGTCTAACTTGAATCCAAAAAAATTAAACTCATTACTCCTCGGCTAACTGCTAATTAGTCACTAATTCTTAAAGGGTTAGTTCACCCAAAAATGAAAATTCTGTCATTAATTACTCACCTTCATGTCTTTTCAAACCTGTAAGACCTTCGTTCATCTTCAGAACACAAATTAAGATATTTTTGATGGAATCTCAGAGCTGTCTGACCCTCCCATAGACAGCAACGCAACTGAAATGTTCCCAAGTCCAGAAACGTAGACAGATCTCCTTGCTACGTTTCTGGACTCGGGAACATTTCAGTTGCATTGCTGTCTATGCAGGGTCAGACAGCTCTCAGATTCCATCAAAAATATCTTCATTTGTTTTCCGAAGATGAACCAAGGTCTTACGGGTTTGAAACGACATGAGGGTGAGTAATTAATGACATAATTTTCATTTTTGGGTGAACTATGCCTTTAAGACAGTCTTAACATAGTGGCTAAGTTTATGCATCTGGCCCCTGTGAAATGTATTATTGCAGCAAGGACTCTCGTCCTTACCATGTTAGGACAACACAGCATAGACTTTGGCCAGGAGTGAAAAGAAGCATCTTCGAATTATTAAAGTATGATGTTTTGATGTTAGGATTTATTCATGTTCTGCACCGGGTTATTATCATTTCATTATAACTAAATCAAACTATTAAAAACATTTTTATTAATTGAAATAAAGCTAAAACATTAGATGAAAAACTGGAATGAAAAATGAAAATTAGAAATGTTGTCTTGACAATTAACTGAAACAAGTATAAGTTAAAACACTAACATTACTAACTGGAAATAAATAAGCTATTGTGAACTAAAACTGAAAAAAAAAATGTAACCTAAATAGTAAGATTTAAACAAACAAAATAAAAACTAATAAAAATGACCAAAGAACATAAAATGTCTAAAAAATGTAACTAAAATGAAAATGAAAGTGAAAAATCTAAAAATAAAAGCCAATTCAAAATATTAATGAAAACTATAACAGTATAAATAATATTAAAATAGCACAGATTAGTCTAACGTAGAAAGTAAAAGAAGTATCGATTTACCCCGATCATTTTCTCTTCTCCTTCTCCAAGAAAAACTCCTGGAATCATTACCTGCAGTGAAAACAGAAATTCTGTATTAATACCCTGACTTCTGCATCATATGATGATTTACGGATCTTTTTTTAAATAAAACTTATCACCTTTCTTTCTCTGGACGGTAACAGCATAGTCCATAACACACTTAGTATGCATAGAAATAGGGCATGATGTAAGTAGCTGAATAGTAGATTGGAATTAGATTGTTAGATAGTTTACTGAATATGCCCATATAAGATTTCAGTACTGATTTTATTTGATAAATGTACATATTCAACTCTCTGTCTTTCACTACACAAATCAAGTATGCATGACTGATGAAACTATGTAAATTAAATAGTGTTTACGGGAAAAGGCACAAACATGACAGAGTTCTCCCAAACATTCCACTATTTCTCAAATGACCTTTTATCGCATCTACTAACTTTTCTTGTGTCACTAAATATCCTCTATTAGCACAGTGTTCGCTCGCTCTCTGTCTCCTCTCTCCCTCTGGTTCTGTCCTCGTCTCACCGTTGCTTTCCTGACTCTTGGTTGAGAAGATGAACCGATCGAGCTGGCAGCGCAGGAAGTCCCTCTCCTCTTCCAGGTCCTCGATGCATTTCTGCAGCCATGAATTTTTCTCCAGTGAGATCTGCAGTTGTGTGCGCAAGTTAGTGATTAACAGGTATGAGCTGCTCGGTGCTGGCGGATCACTACCTGTATTACAACACAAGCAAATATCATCACATGTTGACATATACAGCACTTTTGTGTTCTGAAGATAAACTAACGTCTTAAGGCTCATTCACACCAAGGACAACACTATAAGTAAAACACTTTAATAATCGTTCTAATTCAAGCTCCTATAGAGCTTGACCAAAGCGATATAGAGTCTGTTGGTGTGGATGAGTAAATATATTTTTATGTTAAACTAAACCTAAAATGGTAACACTTTATAATAACTTTCATTAATAAATCATTAACAAACATTATATAATGCTTAACGGATCATTAGTTAATATATATTCAAAGGGTTAGAAACGTGAGACAATGTGCTTGTTAATGTTTTTTAATAAATATATTAAACATTACATAATGTTTAACAAATCATTATTTCATGTAAGTTAAAATGCTTACAAATGTCATTAAACGTTCAATTCCATATGATGGAATCAATTCCAAGCACTTATTGAAAATGTACAAATTATTTTAGCAGATGTTATAAAATGATTAAAAGCTTGTGTTAATGCAATTGAGTTGTGATATGGGTAAGGTTAGGGACAGGTTTGATGGTTTGGGTAGGTTTAAGGGTTGGTTAAAGGGCCAACAGTGTACAGGGGTCAATTTGATTATAAGGGAACACAGATCAATCTGTTTATATTATATTGTTCTGATAAATGAACAAGTATTTTCTTTTAAAAACGATTTGTTTTCTCCTGTTTATTTATGATTCAAGGAATATCCTGTTTAATGATATACTGAAGAGTAGTATACTAATGTGAGTGTTGAGGCAATGAATAAAAAATTTGCACCAAATTACAATCTGTTAGGTCTTTAGCAAGCATTTAGCTAAACTTAACCAGCCACCCTTTACACAAACCTTTAAGTAGTTTCGCTTTCACAATGAAACAGCGTCACACATGACGGCCTAGAGTGAGCGGCGGCCGGGGGCTAGAGTGAGCGGCGACCGGGGGCTAGAGTGAGCGGAGGCGGCGGGCTTGAGAACGGCGCAGCCGGCGGATTCGACGAAGGAGCGTCTGGAGGGCTTGCGGCAACCACATGTGACGACCCCGGGCTGGACTCCGCTTCGTCCACAGTGAAAGCCAATCCGGTGATCCACAGCGCGAAGTTGATGTATTTCCTCAGCAACCAGCACGGATCAGCTCCAGGCATGACGAAGCGGATATCATCCTCTTTTGGAAGACCAAACAAAGTAGTTTCGCTTTCACAACGAAGCACACAGCGCCTTCACGACATGTCAGCGGCGGCGGCAACTACAATACTACAGCGAGAATAAAAGTTACGCCTTTTTTCTTTGCGTGAACATTTGGGCAGCGTTATGCAAATCTTCCCAGTAGACATGTGGGGGCGTGTTAGAACGAGCCGCTTTAGGTAGGCGTGGTTGACTCTTAACTTTTATAAAGAATATCTCTTTGGATTTGAGACTTTAGTCTTTGTAACTTTACAGATCTTCTTGATGCACCAAGAGCTTGTAACACTCCAAAGAGAAAGGAGAACTTGAAATCGCATCATATGACCCCTTTAAAAGATTATTTGTTATTTGTCAATTTACATTAAATAATCATATGTTAATCATTTAGTAAGTTCATTAGTGAACATTAACACGAACTCATATTTCTAGCCATGTGAATATATATTAACCAGTGATCTGTTAAGCATTATATAATGTGTATTAATGATTTATAAATGAAAGCTAAAGTGTTACCCCTAAAACAATAGTAGGACAATAAACTGAACTGACCATCAAAGTTCTGGTCATTCTGGTTGTAAAAGCCTCCCTGCTCATCAAAGTGGTTGTCTTCAAAAGGAATGGAGATTTCATAGGCATCCTCATTCTTGGGAGCTGAAGAAAGATGATTAATTCACACTGATTAATAATGAATTCGCAGGCATCCAGTCATCGGCTCACAAGCACATGTACTGTGATTAGAGTGCGTGCACTCACTCTGTAGCTCTCGGGAACTCGCGTGCTTCCTTGAGGATGAACCCGCATCGTTCATATCTCCGCCTGTGATGAGATGTGTTCTGGGTTGAGACACAGAGAGCGGCCGTCACCCCAAAATGCTTTATTTCTCAGCAGAGCATCGAATGCAGATGCAGATGCGACAACACATCACAAAAGGTACATTATAAAACAGAATGATAGGCTGTCGGATCAAATGCGTCCTCTCTTCCTTTCACACGTATGCAACGGAGTAAAACATTCAAACTGACTGTCACTATCTTTCTATCTTTCTATCACCCCAACACCAGCCATCCACAACCAAAACATTGATAACAACAACATAAACACGTTATGACATGAGCTGTGCTCTTCTTCAAATGAAAAATACTAATCACACTATTCATGGTTGGTATAGTGGTGGAAGGATAATACACCATTTGTTTAACAGCATTGAGACGACTAGCAATCTGGCTAATCTTTAGACCGTTCCAGACAGAATGCAAGTTACCCAAATAAACGCAGTATTGCTGTCACGTGATGACACAAAACACGTACAAACCGTTGCTCGCTTGTGAACGTGCTTCCTTCGCGTATCTGAAGCGTGTCTCAATGCACTTTCATCTGTCTGTGTTTGCTGAAAATCAGCCTCAGCAGCAGTGCTAAAAACAACGTGAAGGAAGACACTATTACTGTACGCTCAAATCAGCACGTTCAAAATAAAAGCCTTGAGGATTTGTTTTATTTATTTTAATTTTATTTTTTTAAGTCACACACAAGTGTGTGTGTGTGTGTGTTTTAAGTGCACACACTGAATGCACAGTAGTAATTTAGCATTTGCATTAAATACTGTATTGACTATAGAACAATTATATATAAAACTATAGTGGATTTAACATTAAAAGTTAACATCTAATGTTAAAATATGTTTTTAACCTTCTCCCTTTAAATGCTTTGGTCAGTTCAAGAATAATTTATGAAATGGATGAGTAATTACTACAGTAATCTAATGACACTGTTCAAGTAGCTAGTCATTTTTTTAAAAGGGGTCATATGATGCTGCTAAAAAGAACATTATTTTGTGTATTTGGTGTAACGAAATGTGTTTATGCGGTTTAAGGTATAAAAAAACACATTATTTTCCATATATTTATATTATATATAAAACACAGGTTCCAAACAAATATTAAGCAGCACAACAGTTTCAACACTGATAATAAATCAGAATAAGATCTATAAAAGGATCATGTGACACTGAGGACTGGAGTAATGATGCTGAAGATTCAGTGCTGCGTCACAGAAATAATATATTTTAAAGTATAATAAGATAGGAAGCCAATATTAGAAATTGCAATAATATTTAACAATATTACTGTTTTTTCTGTATTTTTGATCAAATAAATGCAACATTGATGAGCATAAGAGACTCCATTTAAAAAAACACTATAAATCTAAAAGATATACTTCTGTGTGTGTGTATATATATATTTAGAGTAAGCAGAGGCGGCGGGCTTGAGAACGGCACGGCCGGCGATTTCGACGAAGGAGCATCCGGAAGGACATGTGACGACTCCGGACTGGACTCTGCTTCGTCCACGAAAAGCCGATCCGGCTATCCACAGCGCAAAGTTGAAGAATTTCCTCAGCAACCAGCACGGATCAGCTCCAGGCATGACGAAGCGATATCGTCCTCTTTTGGAAGGCCAAACAAAGTTTCGCTTTCACAACGAATCACACGGCGCCTTCGCCACATGGCAGCGGCGGCAACAACAATACTACAGCGAGAATATAAGTGACGCCTTCTTTCTTTGCGTGAACATTTGGGCGGCATTATGCAAATCTTCCCACATCATGACGTAGATATGTGGGGGCGTGTTAGAACGAGGCATTTTAGGTAGGCGTGGCTGACTCTGAACTTTTATAAAGAATATCTCTTTGGATTTGAGACTTTAGTCTTTGCAACTTTACAGATCTTCTTTATGCACAAAGAGCTTGTAACACTCCAAAGAGAAAGGAAAACTTGAAATCGCATCATATGACCCCTTGTCAAATACTTACCCAACACTGTGTAATAGCAAATAACTGATGAAACGTCTGGGTGAAGCATTTTCAGTCCAAATAACCATTGTTTCAAAACACAAGATATTTGTAATATGTAATGAGAACAATTTTGGTTTAATTACAGAAACACAACAGTATGATCTTCTTTCAATTTAGTACAAGCCTACTCCAGTGTGTCAGATTAGGAATGACACAGACATGAGGTGTTGTGTAGATTACTTTGCTGCTGATACAGTAAATGGTGTTGCTGTACCTATGGCACAGTCTGTAGTTTCGCCCTGTCACACTGACACAGTAATTTGTTAGTCTCTTCCATGGCAACGTCTCTGTTTACAGTTCCACATGGCATGCTGTAGCCTAATGTAAAATGCTGTATTCGATGCTATGCATCTGCCTCCTTTGGACACTTTGGATTTCTATTCTCTTCACAAATTGCAATATATATATATATATATATATAAATTGCAATCTCTCTCTCTCTCTCTCTCTCACACACACACACACACACACACACACAATAATTCAATAATTTATTATACTCAGTTATCCATTTCAGGAACCATGCAGTTCTTCAGAATCTATAAGTATAGAAATTTATAGACTAACCAAATGATTCACTGATTAACCATTAAGATCAGTCAGACAAATGTATTAAACTGATTGTGAAGAAAGCCAAATGAAAGTTTAATAGAATTAGCAGTTACTGTGAGGGAAAAGTAGATGAGACACTTACTTTGTGATCGGAAATGTTTGGGAAAAAAAAAAGAAGTGCATTTTTGATCTGTTGTGAGAGTATATAGATATATATATAAAACTAATACGGTTTTTAACTTTTACCTGTTTGTAATACCTTTTTGTCAGATCTTAATGCAACATTCAATAGGTATTCTCACAAACAATACAAAGAATGCATAAATTAGCTATTTTTAGGATGTCTCGACGCAATAACTCAGATGACGCATTCGGCCATTATAATTCTGGTTTAGTAATTATACAGTAGTCAACATTTGAAGTGGATCAAAACCTTTCATTAAAGTCGCACTAAAACCTAAAACCAAAATGTGTTCTTTTGTTAGGACAACTTTGATGAATTTTTTTGATCCACTTCAAATGTTGACTATACTGTATAGTATTTTGGCATTGTCATGGTAAATAAACTTGGCTTCTAAGACAGAGGTTACGGAGTCAAGCCCAAATGTCTGTAGACTGATGAGGTCATAAATCCACCTCTGTGCGCAGTTTCTTTCCATTCGTCATCTTAGTTTGTCTATGTCACACTCTTGTTGAAGGAAGGCACACGAAGACGACGGTAATCCAAATAACATTTAATAGTAATCCAAGATGATGAAGATTCTTACAAAACACAGGGTAACACAAGCAGCATACACAACTATAATAACCGACCACCAAAGGAACTGAGGAGGGAACTTAAATACACAGACAATCCTGGAGGGCCGGTGTCCTGCAGAGTTTAGCTCCAACTTGCCTCAACACACCTGCCTGGAAGTTTCTAGTATAACTAGTAAGAGCTTGATTAGCTGCTTCAGGTGTGTCTTATTGGGGATGAAGCTCAATTCTGCAGGACACCGGCCCTCCAGGACCGAGTTTGTGCAGCCCTGGTCTAGACAGTCTATTTTTCTATCCTCTCTCTCTCTCTCTCTCTCTCTCTCTCTCTCTCTCTCTCTCTCTCTCTATATATATATATATATATATATAATCTATTGAAAGCAACAGAAGATACTTGCATGTTTCCTGGAAGACAAATCAAGTACAATTTACCTTGATCTTCAATTTCAAAAAGTCTCTTAATGCATCATGTTGCCTTCTGGAGCATAAGTGAATGTTTGAACCTTTTTAATAGCTGTGTTTGAGTCCCTCAATTGTCCTCAGTGTGAAAAGATGGATCTCAAAATCATACAGTCACTGCTGGAAAGGGTTCAAATATGCAAAAGATGCTGGAAAACTGAAGAATCCACAGGTTTTTCTGAGGATTTTTAAAGAGGATTTTTCTGAAGGACAGTCAACAGAACAGTTTTTGTCATCATTTACTCACTCATGTCATTCCAAAACTGTATGTCTTTCCTTTTTCTGTGGAACTTAAAAGAGCTTCTGAGTTTTTTTGCCCTTTTAAAAACTCAACCCTGTTTATTTGGACCCTGGGATCGCCAAATTATACTGTTTGGATTCAATTAATGAGAACCTCTGTACGATGTTATTTATTTATTGCTTGTCTCCAAATTAATGAATGTTGTTGATGGTTTTGTCTATTTGTAATTTGTGGAAAATCAGTAAATATATAGTTAAAAAAATATTAAACCCTATTGAATAAAAAAATGGAAAATTAGTAAATACTAAAATTATGTAGTGAACAGCACATTCCAGGGCCCGGTTTATGCTGGTGCCCCTCTCTGACCACACTAGTGGACCTCCCCAGGTTGGCAAAAGCAAAATCACTACTATTATATTTTAATTCATAAACATTTTGTTCATGATGTACCACACTCAATCTTGACGTTTTATTGTGATGTCCATTTTATTTGTATAGCACCTTTCACAATGCACATTGTTTCGCTTTTCAGAAATTCAAACTGTTATTGTTTATAATACCTTAATGCTTTATAGCCCACATAGCACATTAGATATCTTTAAACAGGAAGTTGATTGAAATTCATGCCATAATATTTTTATCTTTAGTCCCCTAGTGTGCAAGCTACTATGGCAAACCCTATTTGATGTTGATAATGGAGAGAGAAAAATATTAATGTCAGTTAATAAGCTGTTACTATATTGATTGAACAGTAAAATAAAGGATAAAGTGTCTTTGAGGTCTATCCACAAATGAATGAAAAGATGCAGGTACATGTCAGCTCCAACTTGCCTCAACACACCTGCCTGGAAGTTTCTAGTATAACTAGTAAGAGCTTGATTAGCTGCTTCAGGTGTGTCTTATTGGGGATGAAGCTCAATTCTGCAGGACACCGGCCCTCCAGGACCGAGTTTGTGCAGCCCTGGTCTAGACAGTCTATTTTTCTATCCTCTCTCTCTCTCTCTCTCTCTCTCTCTCTCTCTCTATATATATATATATAATCTATTGAAAGCAACAGAAGATACTTGCATGTTTCCTGGAAGACAAATCAAGTACAATTTACCTTGATCTTCAATTTCAAAAAGTCTCTTAATGCATCATGTTGCCTTCTGGAGCATAAGTGAATGTTTGAACCTTTTTAATAGCTGTGTTTGAGTCCCTCAATTGTCCTCAGTGTGAAAAGATGGATCTCAAAATCATACAGTCACTGCTGGAAAGGGTTCAAATATGCAAAAGATGCTGGAAAACTGAAGAATCCACAGGTTTTTCTGAGGATTTTTAAAGAGGATTTTTCTGAAGGACAGTCAACAGAACAGTTTTTGTCATCATTTACTCACTCATGTCATTCCAAAACTGTATGTCTTTCCTTTTTCTGTGGAACTTAAAAGAGCTTCTGAGTTTTTTTGCCCTTTTAAAAACTCAACCCTGTTTATTTGGACCCTGGGATCGCCAAATTATACTGTTTGGATTTAATTAATGAGAACCTCTGTACGATGTTATTTATTTATTGCTTGTTCTTGTTCTTTGGAAAAAAAATGGAAAATTAGTAAATACTAAAATTATGTAGTGAACAGCACATTCCAGGGCCCGGTTTATGCTGGTGCCCCTCTCTGACCACACTAGTGGACCTCCCCAGGTTGGCAAAAGCAAAATCACTACTATTATATTTTAATTCATAAACATTTTGTTCATGATGTACCACACTCAATCTTGACGTTTTATTGTGATGTCCATTTTATTTGTATAGCACCTTTCACAATGCACATTGTTTCGCTTTTCAGAAATTCAAACTGTTATTGTTTATAATACCTTAATGCTTTATAGCCCACATAGCACATTAGATATCTTTAAACAGGAAGTTGATTGAAATTCATGCCATAATATTTTTATCTTTAGTCCCCTAGTGTGCAAGCTACTATGGCAAACCCTATTTGATGTTGATAACTTTCCTTTTTCTGTGGAACTTAAAAGAGCTTCTGAGGTTTTTTTTTGTTTTTTTTTGCCCGTTTAAAAACTCAACCCTGTTTATTTGGACCCTGGGATCGCCAAATTATACTGTTTGGATTCAATTAATGAGAACCTCTGTACGATGTTATTTATTTATTGCTTGTCTCCAAATTAATGAATGTTGTTGATGGTTTTGTCTATTTGTAATTTGTGGAAAATCAGTAAATATATAGTTAAAAAAATATTAAACCCTATTGAATAAAAAAATGGAAAATTAGTAAATACTAAAATTATGTAGTGAACAGCACATTCCAGGGCCCGGTTTATGCTGGTGCCCCTCTCTGACCACACTAGTGGACCTCCCCAGGTTGGCAAAAGCAAAATCACTACTATTATATTTTAATTCATAAACATTTTGTTCATGATGTACCACACTCAATCTTGACGTTTTATTGTGATGTCCATTTTATTTGTATAGCACCTTTCACAATGCACATTGTTTCGCTTTTCAGAAATTCAAACTGTTATTGTTTATAATACCTTAATGCTTTATAGCCCACATAGCACATTAGATATCTTTAAACAGGAAGTTGATTGAAATTCATGCCATAATATTTTTATCTTTAGTCCCCTAGTGTGCAAGCTACTATGGCAAACCCTATTTGATGTTGATAATGGAGAGAGAAAAATATTAATGTCAGTTAATAAGCTGTTACTATATTGATTGAACAGTAAAATAAAGGATAAAGTGTCTTTGAGGTCTATCCACAAATGAATGAAAAGATGCAGGTACATGTGGTTCTTGTCAATGAAGATTAATTTTTTAATTTTCATGAATATGATGAGACCAATGATCCACAATGCCTCAATATCTGGCTTTAGTTTAAAATAAAACATTTTGTTTGAGTATTTACTGTTGACAAAATTTATTGACAAAAATTCAGCATTTCTGAGCAGGAACTTGTGTGGTATTGCTGGAGAGATTAACTTCCTTCAAACGTCATTTTACTGGAATAAGTCAGATTTGGTTTATGGCTTATTCAGTACATTCCCTTTGGCCAAAACGTGTAAAAAAATATATTAATTGAAAATGTATGGCATTTTTGGGAATCTTAGCAGAAATGTCTGAGGCCAGTTACAATGCAAAACCATCATTGGGGTCAAAATAAATACAAATTTTAGAATTTATATACATCTCTTTATTAATTTAATATCTGGTAGGCCCTATTTAATTAGTTGATAAGCCATATATCATGTTAGAGATGTTAGTGGAACAGAAGTTTAAATGTAATATTCTTTATTCTGCAACAGTGTTGTACAGTAATGAATCAAGGTTTACAATGAAATGTTTTTGATGGCTCATGACTCCTTTATACGCAATTTAAATCACATAAAAACTAGACGTGATTCACTGAATGTTTAAATTCTAGAGCTGAGAAACGGACTTCCTCTTTTCGAAGGTTTTTTCCCATTCAGTTTCTAGGTAGTGATGATTAAATCTGGACCGGTTTACTGTTTTGTTATTGCGAAATTTATTGTGCACTGCTTAGTTGCGTGGTCATAGTAAAAAGATGACTAATACTGTCGTCTTATATAAAAACCTGAAAGGACTTCCATTCCATTCATTTTTTCAGTCATTTAGGAGCGACTCTACATTAGATCCTGGTGGACAGAGGTAAAGTCATGTGCTCTTTTTTATATCAGTTCTATAGTTCTACAAATATATTAATATTATATTGAGATACAGTTATATACAACTATATCTCACACAAAATGTAACATTTAAATGGATACAAAAATGAATTACAGATTTTAAACATTTGTACTATGTACTGAATATGTATGTTTTGTATATCACAATTCAATGAAAATATATACTTGACTGGTCTTTATTCTTTCAGAATTTCAGTTTTCTACTGAAATATATACTATTAAATATTCTTCTTTTTTTCCAGAAGGGTTGATTGCACACATTATAAGAACCATGTTTCACACCCAAGGACAACATATGAGGAAACTCCTGCCATGCGTTTTGTTATCATTGGTGAGTCATTGGAAAGTGAGCAGTTTTCAAATTTCACAAATATGTGAATAATGATTCTGTTATTAATCACAGAACAGATATTTTGCTTTTGTTTTGAGGTTAAACCAGTTTCAAGGGTTAGCCCAGTGATTATATCATCCAGTTAAGCAGTACCAAGCCAGACTGCCTGAACTGTTAAACTTTTACCACAGGTTGTAGGCATTGTGATGGGGCAGCGCAGCGTCAGCAGCAAAAGGGATTGTTCTACAGAGGAATACTGGAGCGACGGGCTCTGCTGTGACAAATGTGCTCCAGGTACAATGTCTGAAATGTTGAATCAATAGCATCGGAACAACAGTTTTTCAGAGGAATATACTGTTTAATCGCTTCATCTGTCATGTATTATTCTTCAGGGTATAAGTTGATAAGGAAATGCTCTAGTGTCATGGCATCGCAATGTGAGAAATGTTCGAAAGGGACATACCTAGACAAGATGAACTATTTCCCAAACTGCTTCAGATGCGAGAAATGCACCAAGCGGAGTAAGCATAATACTTATATAAGTTTAATTTTCCTTTGACAACTACAGTAATGAACTTAAAATGTCATTTAGGTAGCATATAGGCTATATATCTTGCTGTGTTGATTTTGTTTAGATGTTCACTCTTTTTTCTTTGACTTCTCTGGCAGATGCGGTGGTGATTTCACCATGTACACCCCAAAATAACACAGTTTGTGAATGTCAGTCTGGATACTACAAAAAATTCTTTGATAAAATTTCATGGGATTGTGTGCCGTTTAAAAGGACTGTTTTTTTTTAAAGATTAAGTTCTCAAGGTGAATGCATACCTTGACTCTAGGGGTCTAACAAATAAAAATCAAGTCAGGAATCTTGGTGTGATTCTGGAGACAGACCTTAGTTTCAGTTGGAATCAGCTTCCAGAAGAGATCAGATGTGCTAAAACATTAGTCACATTTAAATGCAGACTCAAAACTCATCTGTTTAGCTGTGCATTTATTGAATGAGCACTGTGTGATGTCCGAAATGATTGCACTATATTTTATGTATGTATAATCATTTTCTATTCTGAACTGTTTTAAGTTCATTTTAAACCTCTTAAATCAATTTTTAAATCATTTTAAAAGTTTTTAAATTCCTTGTTTTATTGTTGCGATTATTTTTTATTATTTTCTTTTCTTTTATGTAAAGCACTTTGAATTACCATTGTGTATGAAATGTGCTATATAAATAAACTTGCCTTGCCTTTGCTCTTTTGGCGGTTTGGGGGTAAAAATGCACCCCAGAAAAAAGCAGAGGACGATTAAGTCCTTTTTCAAACACATGTGACGCCTCATGTCGTGACGTGACATGTGGCCAAGTATGGTGACCCATACTCTGAATTAGTGCTCTGCATTTAACCCATCCAAAGTGCACACACACAGCAGTGAACACACACACACCCGGAGCAGTGGGTAGCCATTTTTTTTGCTGCGGCACCCAGGGAGCAGTTGGGGGTTCGGTGCCTTGCTCAAGGGCACCTCAGTCATGGTATTGAAGGTAAGAGAGAGCGCTGTACATTCACTCCCCCCACCTACAATCCCTGCCGGTACGAGACTCGAACCCGCAACCTTTAGGTTACGAGTATTGTATTAATACTGTAAAATATGCTCGATGTTACAGTCACTGCCCTTGCCGTCCAGAATAAAAGAGAACATCCCAATTAGGCCACAACTTTGTCGCACCGGATCCAGTGTGTGTTAGGCTATGCTATCCTACTTGTAAAGTCCCGTTCACACTAGCAGCGACTTTTGTCAGGGGCTGGCGATGACGTTGCTGGTGGGCGTTCGTGGGCACCCTGGGCTGCGTTCAGCCCCGACAAAACGGTGCAAAACGTTTTTTTAAACGGAAACGGTGGTGCATTGAACACACTGTTCTGATGAAGAGTTGCAACTATGGCAGCTGAGAAAGCCATTCTTTGTATTCTTTTTGAAGAATTTTCAGAGCCTGATGAAATCGGTATAAATACGTCTTTAATACGTATAAATACGTCTAATTACAGTCACTGCCCTTGCCCTCCAGAATAAAAGAGAACATCCCAATTCGAGTGAAGGGATTTGTGCAAACTGTGGTTCCTAATTATTGTGATCCAACATTTGCCTCACATTTCAGGATGAAAAGACAAACATGTCAGGTGAAGGATAATCCACTTCTTACCTCCAAGACTCTGTTATGATCTATATGACCTTATTATTTTTATTGTGAGTATTAGGCTTATCATTATTTCTGATCACTGTTGTTGTGCTATGATATTGTAATATTTACCATTATATAATCAGAGCAGTATAGAAAAGTTTATGAAAGTGTCACTACATAATACAATAGCAAAATACATAAATATGTATAGTATTTTTATGTTACATTAATCAGTGTCTAGCACACCTTCCCAAGAGAGTTGCAACTATGGCAGCTGAGAAAGCCATTCTTTGTATTCTTTTTGAAGAATTTTCAGAGCCTGATGAAATCGGTATAAATACGTCTTTAATACGTATAAATACGTCTAATTACAGTCACTGCCCTTGCCCTCCAGAATAAAAGAGAACATCCCAATTCGAGTGAAGGGATTTGTGCAAACTGTGGTTCCTAATTATTGTGATCCAACATTTGCCTCACATTTCAGGATGAAAAGACAAACATGTCAGGTGAAGGATAATCCACTTCTTACCTCCAAGACTCTGTTATGATCTATATGACCTTATTATTTTTATTGTGAGTATTAGGCTTATCATTATTTCTGATCACTGTTGTTGTGCTATGATATTGTAATATTTACCATTATATAATCAGAGGAGTATAGAAAAGTTTATGAAAGTGTCACTACATAATACAATAGCAAAATACATAAATATGTATAGTATTTTTATGTTACATTAATCAGTGTCTAGCACACCTTCCCAAGGAAAGGATATGGACCAGAAGACATTGCAATTACTAAATGATATTTAGACAGACTTAAAGAAGTTCCAGATCTATACTTGTGCCCTTATTATTTCAGTTATTTTGTCTTGAATGTAAATAAACATGTGCAAACAATATACTTGCTCTTGTGAATTTATTTTGATGTTAATTACATTGTGCAAGCTGTCTCTTTAATACCGCGTTGTTTATATACATGTTGCTGCTGATTGGGCTGACATGTTTGACACACCCACCAAACAAGAGAAAACGTATCTCAAACCCCGTTGCACACCGTTTCCAGGAAACTGGTTTGAGCTTGAACTTGCCCCTGGCCTATCAATCATCTTGTCACAGTTAACATCATCCACATCGCATTTCATTTAACTTTCTACTGTATTTTGGAGAGAAAAGAAGTAGCACATTGATCTGCCAGTCGCGGGTCTTTCATGCCGAGAACTCTGCTCATATTTTATGAACGACCAAAACGGATGTTTATAAAAGTTTACATTGCTGTTGCAGATGACATATAACACAGATAACATTAAATAAATATTTTTTTACCAGGTTAAATGTTGAATATTAGTAACTCAAACTCTACCTAACAGCCATCCGCCATGTTTGTAGTTTTTAATGCGTTTATTCGTGTTTGTAGTTCTGGACAGAATCCTTCACCAAAGACCAATGGATTGTGGACAATATTAGCCATTAAAGGGGTCCTATTATGCTTTTTCACTTTTT